TTCTTCCAACAAAAACATTAAACTATTCGTATAATCAATTTAATACTCGCCCGCTATTCCACAAATCAAGCTAGAAGAGTTCGTATTCAGCTCGCCAGGCGGACGGTACAACAGTGTTAAACCGATTTTTTATTTTTGAAATTAACAATAATCCAAAAATAAATTTTTAAGTCGAAGCGTATTTAATACGAATTATCATACAGCTCTGAGCAAATTGTTGCTGAAAGTGTGCAAACGAAGTACAGGTTGCAGGAGAAAAACCGCGTACGAAAATTAAGTAAACCAGGCTCACTGATGCCTCAATGTCCAGATTATAAATAATCCGTGTAGTCGTACAAAACGAAACATGTGATCAGCTTTTGTATAACTTATCAACCAAAATAAACAATATATAATATTTGTTTCTAACTGTTCAAGTTTTTTTTTTTCGGTTACGATTTATCCATCACATGAGTCATACTGCGGTACTTTACTGATATCTACTGTGTGACACATTACAGAAACACGACAAAAAATTTATATCACAAGTGTATGTATTTAACTATTTTCCGATAAGATATACTTATATCTTTATTTATTTATAGAAAAAAAAAGGCTTTTCGTACAATCATACATATATCAGAATATTACACTGATTTTTTTATTTCTTTTTGTTAAATACGACCAACTGATAATTCTTATATTCATACACGACAAATTATTAGCTCGCGAAATAAAATGACGCTTCATAACACTCAGCACTCAGACGGAACTGTTTACTAACCGGGCACGCCGTTGCTATGGATGCAAGTTCGTGCGGCGCCTGATTGGCTAGTACGTTTCAGTTGTCCCCATATTTGGATATGATGTCAACTTCCTGACTGCTTGCCGCTTAGTCATTCTCTCTCACGGAACTGGTACGAATTTACAAGTCCGCACAGTGTTCAAAGTTTCTGCAAAAGGTTGTATGTATAATTTTCTACTTTTAATTACTTCAAAACACGCAAAACCCAAATAAACAGCCTTCATCGGTCAGGGATGTATCGGAAAAAAAAAAGCGCCAAATCGCCCTGCTCCTGATTTGGGGGAGAAGGATTGAAAGTGGAACACCCACGCCAAGTGGAAACGTCATGAAACGTAGGATGACAGAAACAAGCTGCTGGGTGAATTTATTACATTTTTATTATAACATAATCAAAACTGTTGTTCTTAAGTAACCAAAACAGGAGGGATGTATAACAAGTTTTTAAAGGTCGCGAGACTCAAGGTCACAACTTTGGTTTCCGTTCAACACAATTTTGACCTTGACCAACTGTACTGAAGAAAGTAGCAACGGAAGATCGAAACGTCATCCGCTTCAATACTTCAGGCAATCTGAATACACTGAAGATTCAAAACCCATACGTTTGTTAAATAACGAAGTGTCTTCAAACTGTAAACTTCCAAGTTCGTAAACAAAACACTCAAATAGGTGGTTCAAAGCCTTGAAAAAATACAGTGTATCCGCAAATAATATGCCAAAAGATTTAGCTTTCAAGCAAAATCGCTGAAACTTTGAATAGTTATAACTAACGGTATCGAGTTTTTGACACCAGGTGGCGAACCATTCGCTTCAACAACAACATGGTGTCTAAGCAGAATTGTAACTAACGGTATCGAGTTTTTGACACTAGGTGGCGAACCATTCGCTTCAACAACAACATGGCGTCTAAGCAGAATTGTAACTAACGGTATTGACTTTTTGTCAAACAGGTGGCAAACCATTCGCTTCAACAACAACATGGCGTCTAAGCAGAATTGTAACTAACGGTATTGACTTTTTGTCAAACAGGTGGCAAACCATTCGCATCAACAACAACATGGCGTACAAGCAGAAGTAAGCCAAGTGAATATTCCTCTATGACAATTTTGTAAGTTGTTTATTGCTGCGACCTTAGGGCGTACTCGCGAGTTCCAACATCGGACATGAGAAGGTGCAACTGTGTGTACTGTATTCAAATAGCGTTGATTACGACAATGCAAAGTTTCGGCATCATTGCGTTCACCCCCCCTCCCCTTTTATAACATTTTATGTCTTATTTTTGACGAATACTTATGACACTCCCTGTATTTAAAGACCATATAAACACAACAATTGGGAAAGTTTCAGAGGTTTCTCAAAAAACAAACAGTCTGAACTGCGAATCAGTGGGTTGTCGCAAAAACGAGTACCGCATTTACAGGCTATGTGTGTGGTGTAAGAGTGACGGTCAAATTTCACTAGTCGCAAAAAGTAACCTAACAGTTGGCGGTGGGTGCTGCTGGCTAGCTACATTCTCTCTAGTATATCAACTCAAAATAAAGGATGGCTATGCTCAAGTAGCCCTTTGGTTAACTTTACACGAAATGTTAAAACAAACCGTCTGGCTGACTCAAAATCAGTCCACTTTGGCTGTGTAAGAATCTAGCGAAGAAATGCTTTTACCGAACTGTTAAAGGCATTCTATATGAAGATAAAATTACTGGCAACAGCTAGTGTAAACAATACGGGGTTTTTCTTGAATAATTGCACAATACCCAACAAAATGTTATATTGTATAACAATACAAGTGATAAGGTAGTAAGTTTTATCTTGTATAATAACACAATTGCTTTAGAAGCTCACATAATATACTCCATTAAAAGAAAAATAACACGATTACATCTTTGATGTTGTTGAAATTAGACATTATCCAAACTTAACGCACAGACAAGATCTAATACAATACTGAACTGTAAAGTGCATGTAAAAATTACAAGATTACACAGACACAAACCACACCAGTTGGGACAGAGGAGTACTTAGACACAAACCACTCCAGTTGTGACAGAGGAGTACTCAGACACATACCACACCAGTTGTGACAGAGGAGTACTCAGACATAAACATTACCAGTTGTAACAGAGGAGTACTCAGACACAAACCACACCAGTTGTGACAGAGGAGTACTCAGACACAAACATTACCAGTTGTAACAGAGGAGTACTCAGACAAAACAACACCAGTTGTGACAGAGGAGTACTCAGACACAAACCTCACCAGTTGTGACAGAGGAGTACTCAGACATTAACCTCACCAGTTGTGACAGAGTACTCAGACACATACCACACCAGTTGAAGCAGAGAAGTACTCAGACACAAACCTTACCAGTTGTGGCAGAAAAGTACTCAGACACAAACTTGCCAGTTGAAGAAGAGAAGTACACAGACACAAACCTCACCAGTTGTGACAGAGAAGTACTCAGACACAAACTTTACCAGTTGTAGCAGAGGAGTACTCAGACACAAACCACACCAGTTGTGACAGAGAAGTACTCAGATACAAACCTTACCAGTTGTGGCAGAGAAGCACTCAAACACAAACCCCAGTTGAAGCAGAGAAGTACTCAGATACAAACCTTACCAGTTGTGGCAGAGAAGCACTCAAACACAAACCCCA